AGAGTCATCAGTCCTAAGCAGAAAATGTATATCCTTTCTAATTCCCCATTGAATTTGATCCTCATGTAAGATTATTGCTTTAGTTATCTTTTCCATTTCTGGATAAGATAAACCCCAGTTGAGTTCATTTCTCATTGGATAGAGTCTTGCTTGACCGTTTTGCTTCAGTTATTTTCTGAATTGAACTTTGGTCTTTGACAATCAATTTTGTATCTTTCTAGGCTGTTAAATCTAAATCGAGCGTGCATTTATTTTGCACTTTGTCTCCCCAGGAAAAATCTATTGGAAGATCACCATTGAAGACACAATCTTTTTCTCCAATACCCAGACGACAAGTGACAACCTCTTTATATGAGCAACTTGTTTTGTTCTCAGGTTTTCTATTTGAATGGAAAATGGCAGTTTCTTTCCAAGATAGTTTGTCTATCCCCAACAAGTTATCAAGCTATCAACTGTTCTCTCATCAAATGGAATCATTCTGGAAATCCGGTGAGTCCACTATAATCCGTCAGAGAAGTTTGTTAAAGACTTTATAATTGTTTCTCTTTATTTAAGATATCCTGATACAAGGTTTTTTATTTGCTTCAATGCAATTTCAAACTACATCAATATTTCTCCTCGGTGATGTTCTCCCCAGTGAGTCCACTATTCAATTTACCTCCATCAAATGGCATCTCTCTGAGAAATTTGGTGAAGATTCAATTGATCTTTCTCTTTATTTGAGAAGACATGTTTTATAAACCAACCAGTTTGCGTCTCTTTTAAAGATCCCCGATGATGTTTCCTAATCTCGAGTAAGTTAAGGATTCCCACTGAAGTCCTCAATCTCTAGTGAAATTACAATTCTCTGTGAAGATACTTTCCCACAAGTATTCACCTCTTGCAGCAAGAAACTGAGACCCGTTTGTGGCTTTTGATCCGAGGCGTGGAGAGGTCTATTTTACCCTCTTGTAGAAAGAAACTGAGACCCGTTCGTGGCTTATGACCCGAGGCGTGGGGAGGTTTGTGTTACCTTTTTCAAGTGGAATACTTTATTAAAGTAGAAACAGATACAATTTGTGGCTTGTGACCCGAGGCGTGGGGAGGTTTAAGTTACCCTTTTCAAGTGGAATACTTGATTAAAGAAGAAATTGAGACCCGTTCGTGGCTTGTGAGACGAGGCGATAGGAGGTTTTTATCCTTTTAAATAGCTCATTTGATTATTTGAAGGTGGCTCTATTTCAGATTATTTGGTTAATCTCGGCAGTAGATTCTCTGATAATTTTTAAAATAGAATTTTTAGCAAACCTCAGCAGCAGGTATTCTCTTTTATTTCCTAGTAAGTCTCGGCAGAAGATTCCAGTAGACCTCGATAGAAGGTATTTTATTTCATTTCCTGACAAGTCTCGACAGAAGATTTTCAATAAACTTCGACAGAAGGTATTTTTTTTCATTTCCTGGCAAGTCTCAGCAGAAGATTTCCAGTAGACCTCGACGAAAGATATTTTCTTTTCATTTCCTGACAAGTCTCGGTAGAAGATTTCAGGTAGACCTCAGCAGAAGAAATTTTATTTTATTTTCTAGCAAGTCTCGGCAAAAGATTTCTAGTAAACCACGACAGAAGGTATTTTCTTTTATTTCCTGGCTAGTCTCGGCAGAAAATTTCCAATTAACCTCGACAGAAGGTGTTTCATTTGTAAATTCTCTGGTTATTCTCGGCAGTAGATCTCCAGCAGACTTCAACAGAAGAGGTTTCTTTCTTTCCAGGATCTCGACAGTATATTCTCAAGTTAACTTTGATGCTTCGTTAAACTTCAACAGACATTCATCTCTTTTTAGAATCTCGACAGTAGATTCCCTGGTTAATCTCGGCAGCAGATTCCCCAATAAATTTTGATATTTGACACATTTTTCAATGAAACCATGGCAGAAGGTATTCACAAGTGAGGTCCTATGTCTCGACAGTAGACTTCTCCAGTTGATATCTCTTGAAATCCCCATAGTTGACCTCGACAATAGGTTCTCCATAGGGAATTTGTTAAAAGATTTCATCACAAGCTTATCGCCTTTGATCAAGCTACCCTGTGATTGATAGGTGGTAGTATCTTCCCAAGTGGAGTTGAGTCTCATCCCCAGTGGAGTTGGATCTTTTCCCGTAAATTCTTACTTTGTTTGCTAAGTCGTTCCTTGTCGGGTCTTTCATTCTTTAACTGTGCTTCAGCAACGTTTTTGTATACAATTATCCTCTGTGGCATCACTATCCCACAAGATCTTTGTCTTGCATTTTATATCATATCATAAGTATCTTTATGGAATCTTAGGGAAAAAAATTGTGCATGTTTGTATTTAAGTCTCTTCAATCTCGTCGACACGAAGATTTCAATCTCCATATCTCCATATAGAAGAAACTTAAATAGGAGCATCTGCCATACCCTAATTTTTTACCCTAAGATTCTGTTTTTTTCTCTTTGCATCATTTGCATAACATATCACGCATTTCATCATGCATAATACCCAATTTATCAATTAGAATAAACTTATTGGAATTACAGCCGAATCGGTCAAACCAAAAGTCAACTGTGAGTAAAATCAGTGGACAAATTATTTTGGTCGTATTTACAAACGTCAGTGATATTAATATATGTTTCATGTGGTTTAACCTGGCGTGCTCGTTTGAATTTTTCAACTGTTTTTCGATCGTATTTTGATCAATTTGAGCCATTTAGCGGGTAAAATTTATTTTGAAATTTAACTGTATTTTTCTGAATCGTATATTTTTAGTTGATCATTTTGGTGTATTCATTTTATTTTTTCAAGCACTTCGATACCGACCCATTATTCATTTTTAACCGATTTTAATTCCTTTTTTTATTAATAATCTTGGTTTAATTAATCCGTTTTAGATTTTAATTTTTTCATCATAGTTTATTTTTTTAATATTTATTATTTTCTTATTTTATAATATTTGTTTATTTATTTATTTGTTACTTAAATTAGAAAACTTAATAATTAAGTTTTAAAAAAAAGTTGTTTTGTTTTGTTCTTTTATTTGAGAAATACCTGTACCAAAACCTGCACCTTTCATTACACACTCCACCTACCTTCTCATTTTCAAATTCACAAATAAGGACAAAAAAAAGGCACATGGAAGCACATTACATGCCCCCACTCATCTGATACCCTTTTCTCATTATTATTTTTTCTTTATCCATGACCACTACCATCTCACATCATCACAACAACACACCAATAAAAAAACTGCACAACACCCTTTCTCTGTTTCTCATGCTTATATAACACTCCCTCTCACCATAATATATCACCTTCATTTCACCCCATAGCCACATAATATCCTTACAAAAACACCAGCATGTCAGACTCTATGACACAAACAAAACCACTTACTTTCTCACAAGCTCACACCTTGTTATAAGCTTTACCACTTTCATCACCCCAAAACGGCTTTCAAACCCATCAATAAACGCCTCCCTCTTTTAACAAACCATCACCATTTTGTGAATTTTTTACAGAAATGCCACACATTGAAAATAAAAACACCATATTGCCACACATTGAAAAAAAATTGCAAAAATTCCACATATATACTAAGGGTTCGTCCATTGGAAGGATGACCCAATGAAGCACTGAAAATGGTTGTTGGGGTTCGGCCATCTATTGGCCGACCCTATACTACGTGTAATTTTTTTTTATTTCAGAAATAAATATATTATATATATTATTATTTTATGTTTTAAATTGTTTTTTATATATTAAATTCTTTTATATGATTTAAAATATTAATAAATAAATAATTTAAATAATTTAAATAATTTTTTAATATTATTAAATATTTTTCACGTTATCTAATTAATTATTTAACTAATGAAATTATATAAAATAATAAATAAAATCATAGATAAAGGAAATTTTATTAATACTTATGAGTGAAAAAATATATCATTTTTATCTACGCAAATGACCATCAGTTCCACACATTTTACTCTTTTTCACGTGTTTCCCCCTGCCTAACTCTTCGGGTTGCCATCTTGGAGGTGATGGGGTAGAGTCGGAAGTCAACTCTTCATTTTCAGGTTGATGTGATGTATCGACCATGTCCACATCAGTAACAGAAAAACCTGGTCATTCCATGAGTTGATCATCAGTTAGGGTAAAGTTAGGGACTGGCTGGGATGGTTGGGTGAAGGTGGTTGGAGGACTCTGTTAGATGAGAGGGTAATAAACATCGGCAGTGAGGCCGGTGGAAGTCGGTTGAGACATTGAAGGGTTAAATGTTTGGTGTTGTGGTTGGGGGTAAGAGAAATCAAAATTAGGTTGAGGAATTGGAGTGAATTGAAAAGATGGTCGAAATATGGTTTGTTCCTGGTATTGTTGGTGGTAGTAGAAGTTTGGTTGTGGGGTTGGGGTGTATGGTGTTGGTTGTTGAGAGGAGGTGGCAAAGAATGTGGTATGGGTGTGTTGATATGTTGGTTGGGGTTGTGTGGGTTGGGGGTGTTGGTATGAGGGCTGGGTGAATGAAGATGTCTGGGTTTGAAATTGTGAAGGGTTCTCCTGAGGAATTTCTTGAGGCATGGAGGAAGTGGATCTTTGTTGTGATGAAGACGATGCATACTGACGGGGGTCTTCTAGGAACTGACCTTGAGAAGCATGCATAAATGGAATGGATAAAAACCATTGCATATATGCAGTACTATGAACATAGTTACTGTTAACCATGTTACCTCGTAGGGTCAATTTTTTTTTCTGTTTCTCCACTCATTATTCTCTTCTTTATTTATATTGCACCGATGATCTCCCCATGTATTGGGCATTTCAGTCTCATGTTGTTCACGTAGACATCTAGGCTGAGGAGGGATATCTTGTTGATACAAGCCCATATTGCTGAAAAATACGGTTATAGAATCTCATATCGGAAAGCTTGGATTGCAAAGATTAAAGCTGTAGAATCACTTTATGGGAATTAGGAGACGTCTTACAATGATCTACCACAATGGTTGTTGGTGATGAAGATATATCTTCCTGGAACTGTTAGACAGTTGGAAACATTGCCGATTATTACAGAGGACGGATCCCAATTGGGTAACAAACGGAAATTTCACCGACTTTTTTGGGCATTTGAACCGTGTATCCGTGGTTTTACTCACTGTAAACCAATTGTGCAAATTGACGGAACCTGGTTGTACGACAAGTACAAAGGGACTTTGTTGATGGATGTGGCACAAGATGGAAATGGTAACATTTTCCCGATAGCATTCGCATTGGTTGAAGGAGAGACAAAGGATGGTTGGAGTTTCTTTCTCAGGAATTTGAGAATGAACATGACCCCCCAGGCCAATCTTTGTCTAATATCTGACCGACATCCATCAATCAAGAGTGCTTATGATGATCCTAAAAATGGGTGGTAGTTTCCTCCATCTTCACATGTTTACTGTATCAGACACATTGCACAAAACTTCATGCGTGAGTTCAAAAACAAAGAACTACGGAAAACAGTTGTCAACATGAGTATGTCTACATCTTCACGAGTTGATGTTTCAATTTTTATTTTTTGACTTAATGATTTTCATATGTTTTACTGATCATTTTGTTTAAACATTTTCATCTACAAGATATGCACTAATAGGGGCAACATTTAACTACTACATGGGCGAACTACGAAGAACTGATAGAGCAGCTTTGGAGTGGATAGACAATATTCCCATAGAGAAGTGGTCGAGGGCGTTTGACGGAGGACAGCAGTGGGGACACATGACAACAAATTTGGCCGAATCTATGAACTCAGTACTTAAGGCTACCCGAAACCTTCCTATTACAATATTAGTGAAGTCAACATACTATCGTCTGGGATCACTGTTTGGAAAACGAGGACACGATTGGACAAAACTATTGGCATCCGGTCAAACTTTCACGCAAAACTGTAACAAGGGAATGGCCGACAAAGCGATTAAATCTAGCAGCCATAATGTCATTCAATTTGATCGCGAGAGATTCTGTTTTATGGTTGCCGAAAACATTAATCAACGCGATGGCCGACCATTAGGTACTTTTAACGTTGATCTCAGGAGAGGGTGGTGCGATTGTGGGAGGTTTCAGGCATTTCATTTACCTTGCTCCCATGTAATAGCAGCATGTGCCAGTATACGATAGGACCATAACATGCACATACCAGATGTTTTCAAGGTTCTGAGTGTATTCAAAGTATACAGCGAAAGCTTTCTTGGACTTCCACACCAGCAAAATTGGCCAACATATGAAGGATTCACTCTTTGCCATGACGAGACAATGCGAAGGAATAAGAAAGGGCGTCCAAATAGTACAAGAATTACAACTGAAATGGACGATTCTGAGAAAGAAAATAGAAGATGTGGTATTTGTCGAGAAATTGGTCATATGCGGAGAAAATGTCCGAACGTGGCAGACCCATCAAATAGGGCCGTCTAAATTATTTTTTTTGTTTTTCAAATTATTTCTTAAATTTCAATGTGTAATATATAAGTTATTAATATGTTAATTATGTAGTCAATTTTTAATATTTAAATGATTTTCAAATTATTTTATATAATTTTATTAGTTAAATAATTAATTAGATAACGTGAAAAATATTTAATAATATTAAAAAGTTATTTAAATTAATTAAATTATTTATTTATTAATATTTTAAATCATATAAAAAAATTTATAATATAAAAAACAATTTAAAACATAAAATAATATATATATATATATATATATATATATATATATATATATATATATATATATATATATATATATATATATATATATATATATATATATATATATATATATATATATATATATATATATATATATATATATATATATATATATATATATATATATATATATATATATATATATATATATATATATATATATATATATATTTATTTATTTATTTATTTATTTATTTCTAAAATAAAAAAAATACACGTAGTATAGGGTCGGCCAGTGGATGGCCGAACCCCAACTACCATTTTTAGTGCTTCATTGGATCGTCCTTCCAATGGACGAACCCTTAGTATATATGTGGCATTTTTGCAATTTTTTTTCAATGTGTGGCAATATGGTGTTTTTATTTTCAATGTGTGGCATTTCTGTAAAAAAGTTCCCATTTTGTATATTTAGCCACATCACATTACTTTTTTCACACATAAAACTCACATACACACACGAATTATAAGGTAGACCCCTTTGTGATTATGTTCCTGTCTTCCAACTCACATTCCATACACTACACACACTAACCTTTTTTCCACTTTATACATACACTAAAAAACTTCCATAAATTACCTTCACATTGGATACATACGGACGAGGGAACAAGGAAAAATGATGCGGAAAACATCACTAACAAAAACACAATGATGTAATCATGAAGCCACATTCCTCTTCATCTTCTTCACCTCATGAATAGCTTTTGTTCGCACACCTTTATACAAGTCCACCGTTAACATCCTCCATTTCATTTCTTGAGTTAACCTCACTCCAAACCATCATCTCCATTACCACAGATATCACCTTTTCACTTTCATGAAACAAGCTTGAAACTTTCTCAACCATCCTCTCCACCATTTCCGAGCTCTTTACACAACACCAAGTTTTTTTTCTTAAGATGGAAACATGTTTTTCCAAACAAAGTTATCCATCTCTTTAATCCATAAACTCACTCTTCAACAAACTCACACCACTTCGGTTTTGTCTTCATCGTAACAGAGCGACAAAATTTCAGCAACAACGTTGGCAGTGCGATGTTGATAAATTTCATATTGTTTCTCTTTGATTTCGTTTACTTTACGTGTGTTGCTTTAGTTTTGATCTCAACTATGTTGGTTTACTCGTTATATTGCATTCATTGTTTTGCTCCGATTGAATTGTGTTTCAGCATTATTTACCTTGTTCATTGTGTTGTATGCTAAACTTGCTTAGTGCGGTTAACATTAAATTTTTGGTGCATAAATATCATGTTGTTGTGTTTGTTTTGTTCGATTGCATGTTCCATTTTCGATCTTGTCAGTTTTTGTTGTTGATGTTGAAGTATTCACATAATTTGTTGGTTTGTCTGCATTTTGATTATGGAGTTGTTGTGAATCGGATACCTTTAAACAAAGTATAAACTGTTTCTTAATGATCAAGAAACACACAAGGGTTAGGGTTAACAAAGAAGACAAGGTAAAATAACAAGGAACAACAAGGGTTGGTTATTAAACTGCTATTCTTTCCTTTCTCTTAGAACAAGATTACAAGTATACAAGAATAACAAAATAACCTCTCTCCCTTGAAATTAGAATTTTATCTTCCTATTTTTCCTTATGCCAAGATTGAGAAACTAGCATCCTATTTATAATAAAATAGCACACTAACCTAATGGGCTTTTTAACAATTTCTCATTACAAGCCAACGTAGGATACAAGCTAACTTAAACAATTGGGCTTACAAGCAAGACCCAATTCAACATGCTAACAACCCTAGAAATATTGACTAATGCATGTTAGAACAAACTTCGACTACAACACGCATTACTTGCGAACAGACTTCGACTATACTAGAGTTCGATCCAACATCTCACAAATCTCCACCTTGGATCTAACTCTATAACATCAAGAAACTAGCTTTCTTCATGCAGCTATATTAACTGCATACAGTGGAAAAACTTGCAACTGGGCAACGTCTTGGTGATCATATCAGCAGCATTATGATCTGTCGAAACCTTCAGCACTTGGACTTCTCCATGCTCGATTACCCCTATGATGAAATGAAGCCTCACATCAATGTGCTTGGTTCGCTCATGATAGGATGAATTCTTCGACAGGTGTATTGCACTTTGACTATCACATTTAACAGTGATAACTCGACCTTGAAGTTTTAGCTCCTTTGCAACACCTTCATGCCACAATGCTTCCTTCACAGCTTCAGTTAGGGCAATATACTCCGCTTCAGTGGTTGATAAGGCAATGACCTTCTGAAGTGTTGCTTTCCAACTGATTGTTGTCCCAAACATAGTGAACACATATCCAGAGATAGATTTTCTGGAATCCATACAACTTGCATAATCAGAGTCGACATATCCTTCGATTGCTGCTTTACTATCTTCACCCAAGGTTCCACCATAAATTAGGACTCTATTCAGAGACCCATTTGTGTACCTTAAAATCCACTTCAATGCTTGCCAGTGAGCCTTTCCAGGATTCGCCATGTACCTGCTTACAAGACTTACTGCATATGCTATGTCGGGTCTAGTGCAAACCATAGCATACATCAAAGAGCCTACTATGTTAGCATATGGAATTCTATTCATATAAGTTCTTTCGACATCAGTGTTGGGACACTGATCTATACTCAGCTTGAATTGAGGGTTTGTCGAAGTCATGATAGGCTTTGAATTCGACATACCAAACTTTACGAGAACCTTCTGTAGGTATGCCTCTTGAGATAAGGATAATTTTGACTGCTTTCTATCTCTCCGGATGTCAATCCCAAGAATCCTGGACGCAGCTCCCAGATCCTTCATGTCGAAATCTTTATTGAGTTCAGCCTACACCCTCATTACTTCTTCGACATTGTTGCTTGCTATTAGAATATCATCCACATAGAGCAAAAAAATGACAAATGAATTACCCGGTCGAAATCTAAAGTAAACACAATGGTTGAACTGACATCTGATGAAACTTATGTGTGCCATAAACTTGTCGAATCTCTTATTCCACTGTCGAGGAGATTGTTTCAGTCCATATAAAGATCTATTCAGTTTGCACACATAATCTTCCTTCCCACTTTCGACATACCCTTCAGGTTGCCTCATCAGGATTGTTTCATCTAGATCACCATACAAGAACACAGTCTTCACATCCATCTTTCCAGTTCAAGGCCGAACTGGGCCATCATGGCAAGCAACATTCGAATGGATCTGTGCTTCATAACAGGAGATAACATATCATTGAAGTCGATACCTTCTTTCTAAGTGAACCCCCTAGCAACCAATCTTGCCTTGTATCTCTTCGACGTCACTCCTTCGATTCCTTCCTTAACTTTGAAAATCCATTTACAACTGACTAACCTGGCTCCAGCAGGTTTCTTGATCAGTTCCCAGGTGTTGTCATCATGAAGAGATTTCATCTCATCATCCATGGATTTCAGCCATTCAGTCTTCTTTCGACTCCTCATAACTTCCTTATAGTCTCTAGGTTCTTCATCTAGAACCTCACTTGCAGAGATTAAGGCATAAGCTATAAGATCTGCATACCCAAGTCTCTGAGGTGGTTTGATGACTCTCCTCGACCTGTCTCTTGCTAGCAGGTAGTCATTATCAATCTCCTCATCTTCGACAACATCTTCTGCGTCTTCTTCGACTTCACCTGGGGTAAGCAATTCAACATCAACATGC